CTCCAGGAAAGTGACCTCACGCTCGGGGTCCAGGTCCTTCTTGTTGCCACAGAGGATGACCACAATGTTGGGGCTGGCCAGTGTGCGGGCATCAGTCAGCCAGGCAGCCAGTGAATTGTATGTCTCCCGGCTATGGAGAAGGGACAGAGAAGGAAGGTGGCACAGGAGAGAGGCCACCCATGTCCCACCCCAACCACGCTGCTCATGCTGAGTAGCCCACACCCACCTTGTGATGTCATACACCAGCAGGGCTCCAGCCGCCCCTCGGTAATAACTCCGTGTCACCGACCTGTGGGGCCAGGGGGACCCAGTCATCCCCAAGGCTGGGGTGTGCCCCAAGACTGCCCCCTTTTGCACAGAGAGACTGATGATTTGGAGGACCCTCTCACTGCTGGCCCAGCCCCCAAACCTAGCTTTGGTGGAGATAATTTCTCTACCTGGAAGTCTGTCTGCCTGTCTCTCTCTCTTTCAACTTCTCTCTCACTTAGCTCTTTGTCTACCTACTTCTGTCTCTGTGTCCCTATCTTTCTGAACCTGTGCATTAGTCTGTTTCTTTTTCTGCATATGATTTACGTGTGTAGTGTCTAGCTTTTCTCCTTGCAGTGCTGGGGATCTTGCTCAGGGCCTCACTAGGCAAGCACTCTGCCGCTGAGCTTCACTCCAGCTATGTGCCTTTAACTCTGTTTCCTCCTGTCTCTCGCTGACTCTGGCTCTCATACTTATTTTTGCCTTTGCCCTCATTCATTCAGCATTTTCTGAGCATCTCCTCTCTACCCAGCCCTACCCAGTGCGATGCAATATATACTTGTCCCTCTTCTGCTGTGTCTGATGGAGGCCTCCTTCCCAGCATGGCCAACTCTTTTCTTTTTTTTTTTTTAATTAGTTATTGATAGACCTTTATTTATTTATTTAATTGCTTATATGTGGTGCTGAGAATCAAACCCAGTGCCTCACACGTGCTAGGCAAGCGCTCTACCACTGAGCCACATCCCCATGGCCAACTTTATTTCCCTGTCTCATCAATCTGGATCCCTCTGCACTCAGGCAATCATTCCACAAACATTTATTGARCACTTACTGCAAATCCAACCCACGTCACACRCCTGTTTCTCCTTCCCCATCTCTGTCTCTGGGCTCTCCGCAGCTCATGCGGTCGGTCAACACTCCACACCTATTAAGTGTTGCCGAGACAGCATGTTCTCCATGGACTGAACTCCTTGTTTCTCTCTCTACCCTGTCTGTTTCTCAGACTCTCAGAATTTCTATGTCTATCAACTTTTCTGCAGACATTTTTCTGAAGACCTACTATGTGCTGAGCCCTACACATCTATCTTCCTCTCCCCTAGACATCCATTTCTCCATCCTCCTGGCTACAACTGTCTACCCTCCCTGTCCTTCTCCCACTGACCTGTTTCTTTTTGCATCTCCTTACCTGCTTTATCATTCTTTTCATCTTCATCTTTCTCAGTCTCCCTTTCTCTTGCCTTTCTTTTCTGAGTGTGTGTCTTTCATGCTTCTGCTTCTATTTCTGCTTTAGGGTCTCTCAAACTCTACTCCTCAACCTCAAGTCTTCCTTTCTTTTTTCCCCTTCCTTTCTCTTCCCTTCCCATTCCTTCCTTTTCTTGTGGTGCTGTGGATGGAACCCAGGACCTTATGCAAGCTCTCTCCTCTGCCTCGCCTTCTCAGCGTCTTTTTACTCCTATTACTGTGTCTTGGAGTGCACACACCTCTCTCTCCCCCTCCTCCCCTCCCTCCCTCCTTGGAAGCCCGGCCCACCTACCGAAACCGCTCCTGGCCAGCAGTGTCCCAAATCTGTAGCTTCACAGTCTTCCCACCCACGTTGACCACCCGGGATCCAAACTCCACACCGATTGTGTGGTTGGAGTCCTGTTTGACTGGGAATGGGAAGGAGAGAGGAGGCATGCAGAGGCTCAGAGGATCCCCCATCCTCCAAGGCCTCTTGTCTCTACAAACCCATTCTCATTGCTGGGGTGACTGTGAACCTAGCAAATAGCACACCAAGGCAAGGCCCAGCAATGGAGTTGGATCTATGGCCGGTCATGCCCAACCCATCAGCTGCCCACCTACCCACAGCTCAGTGCTGCTGAGACCACTGCTGGAAACTCACACTTATTCTCAATGAACTGATGAAGGAGACATGATTTGCCAGTTCCTGCACTGCCGATCACCAGGAATTTGAAGAGGAAGTCTGAGCAGATGGAGTCAAAATCAAGGATACCCACAGGAAGAAAAAGACAGAGAGGAAAAAGGGAGAAATTGAGAAGAGTTAGAAAGAAACAGACATAGAAACAGAAGCATAGACAACAATTGTAACAGATCACCTGTTTTTTTCTTTTGGGGTGCTTTCTGTGAGGTGGGGATGGTACCCAGGGCCTTGCACATGCTAAGCAAGTGCTCTACCACTGACCCACATCCCCAGTCCAAGAAGATTATCTTTTTTTGATGTTGTTGTTACTGGGGATTAAACCCAGGGATTTTACCATTGAGCCACATCTCCAACCCTTTATCTATCTATCTATCTATCTATCTATATATATATATATATATATATATATGTAGTTATATAGTTATAGTTGGTCACAATACCTTTATTTATTTATTTATTTTTATGGGGGTTCTGAGGATTAAACCCAGTGCCTTGCACATGCTAGGTAAGCGCCCTACCACTGAGCCACAACCCCAGCCTCCCTTTTTATTTTTTTGAGACAGGTTCTCACTAATTTAATCAGGTTCTGACTAAATTGCTGAGGTTGGCCTCAAACTTATAATCCTTCTGCCTCAGCCTCCCAAGTTGCTAGGACTGGATCCCATGCCTGGCCCAAGATTATTCTTCATAGAGTTTACCATAGGCACAGTTCTAAAGATTTTTATATTACCAGCTCACTTAATCTTTGAGAAAATTCTAGGAGAGAGGTATACTAATAATTATCCCTGTTTTCCAGATGTGGTAACTGAGTCCAAAGAGGTTATCTGACTTGCCCAAGATCACACATCTGGGACAGAATTGAGACTGAAACCCYGGCCAAAGGTCTCCAGAGTCTAAGATATTTGCTATTACATTGCTAATTCCTCTTGAAATTCATCTAATCAAGGGAAACCTAGCCTCGGTCCCTCCTTTTTGGTTGGCACTCGGAATTAAACCCAATAGCACTTTACCTCTGAGTTATAGCCCCAGCCTTTTTTTTTTTTTTTTTTTTGGAGACATGGTCTTGCTAMGTTGCTTAGGGCCTCACCAAGTTGCTGAGGCTGGCCTCCAATTTGTGATCTCCTGCCTCATCTTCATGATTTCCTGGAACTACAGGTATAGGCCATCTGTGTCTCTCTTGATTTCACCTCCTCTACCCTCTCAATTCATGTCTCTGGCCTTCAGTCTATTCCCTCAAAATGACAAGCTGGTTCCCACTTCTGAATTTTTGCATTTGATAACCCTGCTTTTGTGGATGTTCTAACAATGCAGCTCTCTCTGAATCCTAACCCAAAGCTTTCTATAGCCCCTTTTCCCTTCACTACCTGGTATTGTACACTCATACTGATTTTTCAATTCCCAACCTCTTTTTCCCATTCTCTCCCAGATTCTTGGCCCCTAATCTCAAGCTTAAGCCCCATCCTTTGCCATTACATTCCAACCCTAATTTAGGGATAACGCATCCCAATCCATTCCGGACCTCTCAAACCAGTTCAGCCTCACAGTTCAGAGCATGTTGCTCTTCAGTGTTCCCTCTAGCCAGTTGAGCACGACCCCTGCCAGTCACGGTTAGCCCCGCCCCACTCACTCAGGCTCCGCCCCAATACATGAAGGCCCACCTCTTCCCTCAAGGCCAACCCAGAACCCATTCGAGAGAGACCCGCTCTCTCGAATCCCGTATCTATTTAACGCACGCACCAGACCCTCAGGCTCCACCCAAATCGATTAAGCTCAGCCCTAGACCCACGAAACCCCTCCCAGCATCCACTTAGGCCCTGCCCCCATAGAGGCAGACCCCGCCCCCAGGTACATAAGGCCCCGCCCCATTCCCACAGGCCGCATCCTCTTTGGGCCCAGACCCCAGCCCGCAGCTTCGGCCCACCACCCTCACCGTAGGTCTCGGCCATGACTTGGTCGCGGCCGCTGAGGGCCACAATATGGCGCCGCGGCCGCGCCTGCTCCTCGGCTGGCAGCCGCTCCACTCCGGCTGCAGCCCCGGCTCCTTCCTACTCCCGGACCCGGCGCCGCCACTTCCGCCTCCACCCCCCGCCCGCTCCGGCGCGACCCGCTAGAGCTGCGGGATACCAGGCCACGCTTTCCAAAAGGAGGGATTGGCGGACTCGGCAGGCAGAGGGCGGGGCGAAGAGTACGGATTGGTGGCCTGAGAGGGGCTGAGCCGAAGGGGGCGGGAGCAAGGCGAGCAATTGGCAGAGCAAGTGGGAAGGGGCGGTTCTGAGAAGCATCGCCCGGCGGAGGAACGGATTTGGTCAGGAGTCCGAGGGCAGAGTAGAGACTCCGGATTGGACAGGAACAGACTTGGGGCGGAGATATGGATGCAAACAAGGGACAAGGGCAGGATTGGAGCAATCTTGAGCTGGTGGGTGAATTTCTGATCCCAAAGGCAGGAAGAAGGAAATCTRGGAGGATACGCGCAGGTTACTTCCCACCCGGCTTTGCAGATGCTCTCCAAGAAAACACCTGCTTTGCGATTTAGGTTCTCTGGCCCGATTGGCGCATTCCCAATAGTTCAACTCCCTCTCATTGGTCAGGAGAGGACACAGTCCCTCAGTTGGGCGTTTGATTCCGTCTTCTCTCTTGCTTGTGTGCAAGATCTAATCTTAGGAGCCCGCCTAGGGTACCAGCTTAGAGCGAAAAGGCTTTCATCAAACTCTGCCTAGCAACCATTGACGATGCCACATTCAGGGAGTTGATTGGCTAGATTCAGAAACCTGCAAAGCATTTCCTTTGCACAGCCCCACTCCACCCCCCCCAAAACCACAGAGACCGGCAGTTTGCAYTAACTAATGTATTTGCATACGGCCAGGAGGGAAAAACAGCAGGAACCGCGGTAGGTTGAGCTCAGTGACAGTAGAAATCCCATTTCTGAAAAAGAGAAAGGGAAAACAGTGAAGAGAAAACCAGCATCAGATCTAGTGGTTTAAGCAAAAGCTGCAGCCTTGGGGCCAGGTTTGGCCACACAGGAGCTATGCAAATTAGCCTAGAGCCCTATACCTTTGCACCTTTCAAGTAGATCCTGGTGTAGAAATCACTCCCTGTTACAGACCTGAGAAATTTGAGGCAAAAAAAGCATTTGTCCCAGCACACACAGCAAGGCTACCAGAGAGCATAGGCGTTATATTTGCCCACCATCACAACCCAAGGGTCCTCCCTCCTCCAGGAAACTTGCCACCCCTCAGGACACTCACATCTGTCTTCATATCAATTTTGCCAGGTTTCAGAGTCTGGTCCTCCCGAACAATGCTACTGGGGAAATAGCCTAGGCGAGCAGCCAGGTCTCCATAGTAATCACCCTGAACCTGGGAAAGAGGAGTTAAAAGCTGGGTCTGAGAGAACCCTCATTCCTGCTGGAAGCTTCTGCACTGCCTCCTATAGGATCCCCACATGCCTGGCTCTAACCCTATCATTTGGATGTTTAAATGTCACCTACTCATATCCCTCCCAGAGCATGTGATTTAAAGTAGCCACCCATTCATTCAATATAAATGTTCATAGAAGCACATATTTTCTGACATTTTTGATGGCTTATTGCTCATCTCCCTTCATTAAAGGAATCGCTTGTAGTATTTTAGGTGTCTAGAAAAGCAGGTGTACTTTCTAAACAAAGTAAAAATAAACTAAGTCACAAAAGTACCCTTCCCCAAGTATCTGGATATCAGTTTACCCCAAATTTGCTCTTTAGGTGGAGAAGTGGGTCAACTTCCACCCAACCCCATAGTCCTCCCTCTTCCATTCTCCCAAGACTCACACTGCCTCCCCAGAAGAGCCGCCCTCGGCCCTTCAGCTTTGAGAAGACATAGACAATTTGACCCCTGTGTATGGTCAAGAAACGGCAGTCAGGAGCCACGTAGTCCTGAAGGGCCACAGCCATAGATATGGGGTCTGGAGAAGAAATAAAAGGGAATAACAACACTCCATCCACAGACCTGCAACCGAAGTCCCCAGGCCCACCAGCTGCACCCCCCCCTTCCCACTCTTACGGCTGCATTCCTCATCAGCACACAGCTTCCGATCAGCCAGTTTGGGCATGGAACGGCCTGCGACAGTAGACCCTGGAAAGGCAGTCAGCAAGAGGATGACACCAAGGAGCACTGGGGACCACGCCATCATGGACTATGGAACAACAGTGACCAGGTGGGGGATGGGGTCTCCAATTTCTTCCTGCCCTCCCTCTCCCCAGAAACAAGGAAACCTGTGTTCTCAGTCCTGTCCCCGCCCAAAACCAGTCCCAAATTTTACCCACACCACCTAGAGGCTGCTATCCAGCCAGAACCATYTCAAGGACAGGGTGAGGGCTGTAGGCCCCAGGAAATGCCCAGATAGGCCCCAAGTAACCCAAACCACTACATATGACAGCCACCCCCCAGCAGAGGCCCAGACATGCAGGTATGAGATATTTGAATCCCTGGAGTCAGCTCAGGTAACTGGACGCCTTCACTCTCCCTCCAGGTACAGAACCAGAGGAGCTAATGTGGAAAACCACCTTGGAATTTCCTGTGCTGAGGGGGCAGAACAAGGCAACCTTTTGATTACCAGGACAGGCCCACCTCTCAGATGATCCAGTGAATACTTTATGTTGGGCCTCGGGCTAGGTAATGTCCCACCATGTTCACTATTCATCCTCAACTGCCACTTCCTGACTSGATGACCTGGGCTAAGCTATAGAAATAGAGCCTCACCTTGCTCATACATAAAATGGGGATAGGAATAAAAGCAAAAGTTACAGAGCATTCATAAATTTTTATTTTGTTAATTCCAGACGGATATTCTGCATCACCTCAGAAAGGACTGTGATAGGGCTGGAGATGTGGCTCAAGCACTAGCGTGCTCGCTTGGCATGCGTGCGTCCCGGGTTCGATCCTCAGCACCACATACAAACAAAGATGTTGTGTTCGCTAAAATCTAAAAAATAAATATTAATTTAAAAAAAAAAAAAAAAAAAAGAAAGGACTGTGATAACCCCATGTGCATGGAAATGGAAGTGCAGAAAGTTAAGGAACTTGGCCCCTGCACGATGGCACACATCTGTAATTCCTATTAACTCACTGAAGCAAGAGGATTMAAGTTCAAGGCCAGCCTGGACAACATAGTGAGGACCTTGTCTCAAAAAAACAAAAAGGGCTGGGGATGTGGCTCAGTGCTTAAGCACCCTGGATTCAATCCCTAGTGCCAAAAAAAAGAGACTTGTCTAAGCCAACACAGCCTTAGCCTTGACTAGAGGAGCCAAGATTTGCCTGCAAGCCCACAGGTATCTCTGTTCTCCAACCTCATAGGGCTCTTGTGAGGGTTAAACACTCTCATCCAAATTCAAAATGGATCTTGGGGAACCCAAGAATGTTGAGTGACCTGACAAAGATGCAGTCAACAAAATCCAGACCATCATATCTTTTTCGTTTTTGTTTTTATTTTCTTATTGCTTCTTCTTAGTTATGACAGAAGAATCAATTTTGATAAAATTATACAAGCATAGGGCCAGACCATCATATCTTAACAAGGAATAAACTAACAAAGAAAGTAAGGGGGACAGAATGTAACTGAGGAGTGGCCTAGAACTTTTTTATTTTATTTTTATTGTACTGGGGATTGAACCCGGGGTTACTGAGTTACATCCCCAGTCCTCTTTTCATTTTGAGACAGAGTTTCAAATTGGTGAGGCTAGCCTCTAATTTGCCTCAGACTCCCAAATTGGGATTACAGGTGTGGCTACCACACCCTGTTCTCTGTGTGGCCTACATTTAAAAAGATTTAAGAAGCATATCAACCAGTTACCATATGTAAACTTCTTCTGAATTCTGACTCTAAGTGTATACAGAAGTATGTATACAAATTTTGAAAATCTGAATACTAATCAAATATTGAGTGCTTATTTAGGCATTATCATGGCATTGTGTTTGGTTTGTATATTTTAGAAAATGCTAATCAAATATTGAGTAACTTATTTAGGCATTATCATGGCATTGTGTTTGGTTTGTATATTTTAGAAAATGCTTAAATACAAAGCTGATACTGGGCTAATAGACTGTTTGGGATTTGCTTCAAAATAATTTGAGAAGTAGAGTAGAATCTAACTTGAAAAAAAAATAAGCAAAACTGAAGGAAATATGGGAGTTCAGTATACTATTTATATGTCTTCTTTTTACCAGGTATACGAGATAGTGTACTAAGTATATTTAAAGGGGTTCAGAGTATAGCTCAGTGGTACAGAGCATGCTCAGSATATACCAGTTTGTGGGAGTCAATACCTAGCACCACTCCCCCCACCAAAAAAAATGGTATTTAGAACACACTCCACYTGTAATCCTAGAGAATGAAACAGAAGAATCACAAGTTCAAGGATCGCCTAGGGACTTAGTGAGAACCTGTCTCAATAAAAAGGGTGGGGATGTAGCTCAGTGGTAGAGCATCTGGGCTCAATTCTCAGTACTGCTGAGAGAGGGAGGAAGAGGAAAGGGGATGGGGGGAAGGAAAGAGAAGGAGAAGAGAATACGCTCAATACTGTGGCCCCAKTATTACTGAAGAAGTCACAAAGTTATAGAAATGACTTTATTTTCCAAAGCCCAATTTACTTACCTATTGCTGGATAATAATTATCCCAAAATGTAGTAGCTTAAAACCAACATTATGGYTATTTCTCTGGGTCAGAAGTCTAGACATGGCTTAGCTAGTTGCCTATGGGCCTACAAGGCTACAATCAATCTGTCAGCCAGGGATGCAGGTCCATCGACAGCTGGACTTGGATCTGATTCCAAGCTCTCTGACAATGGTTGGAAAGATTCAGTTCCTTGTGGAAACTGGACTGTGGGCCTCTGTCCTCACTAGCTGTTGGCTAGAGGCTTCCCTCAGCTTCTTGCCACACGTATCTCTTCAAAGACAGCTAGCAACAAGAAGCCAGTCTTTGTAATCTTATCATGGAAGTGACATCCCATTATTTTTGCTGTAGTGTCCACTCCCCACCATCAGCAGTTTTCAATTTCTGTGGTTTCAGTTACCAGCCTTCTGAAAATATTAAATGGAAAATTCCAGAAATAAACAATGACTTTAAATTATGCTATCCCGAGTATGATGAAATCTCACACCATCTACTCCAGCCTGCCCCGACGGGAATCATCCCTTTGTCCAGTGGACACACACTGTATATGCTCCTTGCACATTAGTCACTTAAGTAGCTACATAGGTTGTCAGGTACCCAGCCCCCATGCTTGTGTTCAAGTCACCCTTATTTTGTTTAATAGTAGCCCCAAAGCTTAAGAGTAATGGTTCTACTTACTATAGTGATACATKCGTACCCACATTTATAGCAGCATAATTCATAATAGCCAAGTTATAGAACCAGCGTAGACGTGCCTCAACAGATGAATGAATAATGAATGTCTGATATATGCACACAACGGCTTTCTACTCAGCCATAAAGAACAAAATTATGTCTTTTGCAGGAAAATGGATGAAACTGGAGATCATGCTAAGTGAAATGAGTCAAACTCAGAAAGTCAAGGGTCATGTTTTCTCTTCTATGTGGAAACTAGAGAGAAAAAAAGAAAAAAGGGAACAAGGAGAGGATCTCATGCAAATAAGAGGAAGACCATTAGAGTAGAGGATGGGGACTAGGGAAAAGTACAGGAAATACACCAAATTATGCAATGTGCATGTACAAATATATCATGATAAATCTCACTATTAGGTAGTTATGATGTAGCAATTAAAAAAGCAGCAATGATGCTAAGAGGCCATAAAGTGCTTTAAGTTAAAAAGTGATAATGAGGAAAGGAAATGAAATCAGGATGAGGTTGCTAAGATCCATGGTTAAGAATGACTCTTGTGTGAAATTGTGAAGGAAAAGGAAATTCATGTGAGTTTTGCTATCACACCTTAAACAGCAAGTTACAGCCTCAGTGCATGACAAATACTTACAGATGGAAAAAGCACTGCACAGTTTGGTACAGCTCCTGGCTTCAGGAGTGTATAGGAGATCTTAGAATGCATTCTTCACAGAAAAATGCGGGGCTGCTATATTCACTTGAAGCAGGTCACTAGGTCCAGCTCATGCCCAAAAGGGGATTTCAGCTGGGTGCAGTAGCATATGCCTGTAATCCCAGCTGCTCGGGAGGCTGAGATAGGAGGATCCCAGTTCAAAGCCAGCCTCAGCAAAAGACAGGCACTAAGCAACTCWGTGAGACCCTGTCTCTAAAATACAAAATAGGGCTGGGGATGTGTCTCAGTGCCCTCGAGTTCAATCCCCCGTATTCGGGCCCCAAAAGGGTGGGTGGGGGGAGTGGATTTCACAAAAGTGAGAATATCAGAGGCTGGTCATTATCAGAAACCATCTTAGAGGCTAGCTACCACACCAAAGCTTTATCCATGACCCAGAGGCAGCCACAGCAAGCCCCACAGTCCAYCATCCTTCTCGCTCCAATCGTATCCACATAAACAAAAGGGCCACCAAAGCACAGGTCTATGGAACAAACACCAYGCACACTGCATTCCCTGGAGGTCTTCCTTCTCCCTAGTCCCCAACACTGAGCTCACTCCCACCACGGAACCATCACACTGCCTCAATCACATGGGAGGCTGCTCCTTGTCTTTTGGGGTTCAGACCCAAAATTGCCTCTCTGCAATGCTCCCCCCTCAGCTTTCTCTTCCGTCTTGCTGAGGAGAAATCAGGCTCTGGGGTTGTCACCAGCCAGAAACAAAATGAGGTAGTAGAGGATCTGATTCATGTCTCACCTGTAAACTTGTTTCCACTAGAGGATCCACACCACTCCCAGGGCCCTCAACTCTGCACTGAGTGATCCAAACTTTTTTTTGCTGGGCAGAGGCAGGACACAAAACAAGCTTGTAGTCAGGGAGGAGTCTGTCAAATGGCTTCAGCCATTTCTACAAACCCAGCACCCATTACCACAGGCCATGAGCCTAAGTCACTTCTACTCAGATACACCTTCTCAGAGGGCCTTTTCTTGACACCCACAACTGTTCCCAGTCCTGTTACCCCACCCCAGCACTTGTGCTTCCATTAGAATACTTGAAACTAGCTCATCTACTTATTTCATTACATTCTCTAACTCTAGAATCTATAGTGTTTATTTAGTACCTAATAGGTGCTACTAAGCAAAAATGCTGATTTGGGTGCTTGCTAAGTACCTGGTAGCATAAGTGTGCATGTGAATGTGTGGGTTTTGGGAGGAGAGTGAGTACTAACCTTATTGCAGTATTAACAGGATTCCTCTTCACATAGGAAGAAAATGAAGCTCAGGGGAGGGACATCAATTGCACATGGGGTAACAGGGACTTCCCAGAGTGGAAACCAGGACTGGTTGGCCACAAAAGCCACAAATCATAGCCACTAGGCTGTGGTGCCCAAAGTGGTAGGTGAGATGTCTCCACTGACCTGCTGCAGCAACACTGCATCATTTAACAAAGATGGCAATCCCTCTCTTCTTCCTCTTCAGACCACACAGGAAAAATTCTGCATTTGACGATGCACGGTTTCAATTTTTTTTTTTTTTAAGTGTTGGGGAGCCTCACGCTTGTCAGGCAAATGCTCTACCATTGAGCCACATCCCAGTCCTTTTTATTTAATGACAGGGTCTTGCTACGTTGCCCCGGCCAGCCTTCAATTTGGGATCCTCCTGCCTCAGTCTCCAAAGTAGGATTACAGTTGTGCACCACTGCACCCACTTACTTTGTCACTTCTAACAGACTTTTTTTGGAGCACTCTACAACTGAGCTACATCCCCAGCCCTTTTTTATTTTTGAGACAAAGTCTTGCTAAGATGCTCAGGCTGGCTTTGATCTTGCAATCTTCCTGCCTGTCGAGGCAGGAAGACATTCCTCTTTAATGGAGAGAGCAAAACAGGAACAGAATTAGGCTTAAAGCCTAAGCGGGAGATGACATCCAGATAAAATGGTGTGTCGCTGGAGGTGCATCCTTGTGCAATACACAACCTGCCAGTACATGGCAGTCCTCCATTTCTACTTCTTGCCCCAAACGCTGACTTGAGACAACAGAAAATTGCCAAAGCAGTACTTAAGACTGGATAACATTATTATACTACTGTGTGTTTCCCCAAGTTTGCAAACCCCAAAATGCCAAGAGGTCCAAAAGCCCATGATGTGCTGATGTGGAGAGAAGGGAACCATGGAAAGCAAGAAAATAAAGAGACAAACGGTTGCGAAAAACCAAACCTCAAAAAAAAACCACTTTAATTCCAGCCTTACAGCGCCAGGTGCAATGTCTGGGGACAGACTCTGGGTACAATGCTGTGTGGCGACCACGCACTCACACACGGCTCTGAGAAGGCCCCCAAAGGGGGACTTACCTTCAGGGGCTGAGCCAAGGGGGAAGGGACAGCCCCAGAACAGGGGTAAGGACAGGCCTAGGGAAAAGGTGCTACTTCTTGGCAAAGGAGATCTTCATGGCGTTGTTCTGGGTGATCTTAAAGCCCTGGAGGGCATCCCGAGCTGCCCCTGCCTGCACCTCGTTGTCAAACTCCACAAAGGCGATGTCATGCCGCCCAGGGACCAAGCGGACCTCCTTGAAGCCAGGGAACCTGAGAGAAGGAAATGACAGACCTCAGACATGTCCCCCTAACATTTTGGCAGGTAGAGTGCAGAGGCCAGGAAGATGCTGAACATCTTACAATGCTCAGGACAGGCCCCCATGACAAAGGAGTAGCCCATACAGAACATGCAGCGCTGAGCTGAGAAACCCAATGTAAACAAGCTGCTTAATGAAAAATTTTAACACGACACCCGGGAAACCACAACCTTGATGACGACACCAAATGCCGAAACCCCATCCTTCCCCCATCACAACCCACTTCCAGCTTCGAAAAGAATCGCTACTCTCACTTTTCCAATACGCTGATATGCTGCTGCTTTAATCTCCCTTTTCTCATTCCTTACTGCCTTCTCCGCTAGAAAACCCTCCTCAGTTTACCGGGCATCTTCTTCCACCAGTATTTTCACAAAATACACAGTTTTGTGGACATGRCATACAAGTGGTATTGTTTCAATTTTGTTCAGTTTCTCAAAAATTCCTCAGCATTATCATAAAGCAACTATTACATTGCCGTCTCCACTTCTCTAAATGGCCACACTGTAGACCATGGTAAGTATCGGCATGAGCCATCCCGTCTTCAGGGCTGCCTCCTACTCTCCACGGTGACACTGTGATGATTACCCCTTTCACAGCTACTAGGAACTGACTTGTTTTCAAGACTTTCTGTGGGACACATGAAGCAGAACCACTAGGTGAACTCGCCCACATCCTCGACACCTGTTTAACAGTTGCTCCACCTGATGGCCACACAGTGTYGTCCTCCTCAGCATGGCACCAGGGTTCACACACCTCCACCTCCACCTTTTTGTCAGCTAGCCAGTGATCAATGAGGTCTTGCTATCGTTTTATATACACCTTGCACGGCTGAACACCAATCTCATCCATTTTTCCATTTTAAAGATTAGAAAAATGAACCAAAGCCTGGGCTGACAAAGGCCAACGTGCACTGGCCATGGTTACCCAATCTGTCTCATCACCAGCTTTGGCTTCCTCCTCCTCCTCCTCCACCCTCAGTTGCTATCCCTACTGCCAAGCCTGAGCTGGCTTGGGGCTCTGCCAGCACAATTCCAAGACTCACTCCCCTGGTGACACCTTCTGGCCATCACCCTCTAGCTCTAGCCCAGCTACTAGCCCTACTTACTGGTTGAAAAGCATGGACAGCATGAGCTCGTTGGTCTCCTCTGGCAGATTGGTAAGGAACAAGATGTGATTTGGTGGATTCTCGGAAAGCTGCAGGAGAGGAAAGGAAGCCCATGAGCATGAAGTACTGAGTGGACTGGAGGGATCCATGGCATTGCCCTCTACTCACCACCCCTCCCACTGCTTGAATTCTGTCTAGCACCTCTGAAACATGCTGTTGCCCCTCTACCAACACCCTGTACCCCTACAAACTACAGGCCATAAAACAGCAGAGGTTTCTGTTTTGGCCACTGACCTATCCCTTGAGCACAGCATAAGTGCTGGTACACGAGCAGGTGCTCAATAGAAGTTCACAAAATGACCCTAGATGCTGGGCACCGCTCCAGCTTCGACCTGCCCTACCAGACCTCCACCAAACATGCCAATTCCTCTCTACCCCAGGGTCCAAGCCCATTGCTATGAGCTCACTACTGAGGTATCTCTGCTTCAGTACCAACCCCTTGGGAGTCTGCCCAAACCACCCAATCTACAGCAGCCCCTGYACGGTCCCCTTCTATCCTATATTTCACATGAAACCCTGGAGGGACTGAACACTTACAGGTTGGGCAGGTGGCATCTGCCCTGGCATAAGCTGTTGTGGGGGCATGGCCCCTGGTGGGATCTGGCCTGGTGCAAGGCCTGGTGGCGGGATCATGCCAGGGGGTGGCATGTAGGGAGGCTGGCCCGGCATGTGGTGCATGATGCGGGGTGCCTGAGTCATTGGAGGCATGCCCTGTGGAGAAAGAGAGCAGGACTGAGGACAGGAGAAGGCGCCGCTACAGTGCCCGCAGGAGACAAAGGAGCAAAGGCTGTTAGAAGAAACCCTGTAGGTAAGAAATAAAAGAGGAGGAGGCCAAAAAAAAGGCACCAAGATACCAGATGGAGCAAAARGGACCTGGGCTCAAGGGCAACAGTACATCAGAAAACAAATTTTCTAAAAGAATTTTTAAGGTATAAAAATTAGTGGGACCCAACCTTGTTTACAGATATATAAATAGAAAACAAGACTGAGGCGGAAATGCAAACAACTGTGAACTCAAAGGTGTAGAAACATGCTAAGGAGCATCCTGTACTTTCGCTTCTAAGAAACAAAAACTAAATAAAGAAACAGACCCAGAGACATGGGGAGAAACAAAGATAATGGAGGGCTGGAATGTGGCTCAGTGGTAGAGCCTTTGCTTTAGCATGAACAGGCTCCGGCATGCATCCCCAGCACCACAGAAAAAGAAAGGTGGGGTGGGCATGGAAGACAGCAATGGAAAGAGACGGTCAGGGAAGATACAGAGAGGTGAAGTGGGAGCCAGCCCAGAGCGCACAACACACAGTGTAGCYCAGAGCCAGCCTCCAACCTTAGAAGTCAAATATGGAGGGAAGGCTAGGCCCCCAAGAGACTGGTAACAACGGAAAAGCCCAACAGAGACTCAAGACACCATCACCGACTCCAGATAAAACGTGACTGACACAGCCTGAGCACCATAAGACTCTGAGGGCCAGAGAGACATGGAGTCCTAAGAAGGGGTCGGTTCACTCATCCTTTCTTTTGTGTCAGCACTTTTGGCATCCTGTTAGAAAACAGGATGCTCCCGCTTTTCAGCCTCAAAGTCAGGAGGACATTTTCCTGTTTTCTTAACTCTTCTTTTGTTAGTTGTCACATTCAGGTCTATGGCTCAGCTGAAACTACCTTTTATGTATAATACGAGGGGACAATAATTCTTTTCTCTTACAGATCCAACTGTCCAGCATCACTTACTGGGAAAAAAATAAGTTCCACTGAACTGCAGTGGCACCCTCATCATATCATACATCAAGTGGCCAACGTGTGTGACTATTTCTAGACTTTGTTCCACCCACTGGTCCATCTTTCTACTATTTTGCCAACAGTACATCATCTCAATTGCTGCAACTTCACAACAGGTCTTCTGCCCCAGCTTTAATCATCTTGCCTGCCTTGGCCTGGCCTTTCCAAGCATTGTCTACTGACCTCTTACTGGGATTTGGACTGCAGCAATTGTGTTTAATACTCAGCTGGGCACAGTGGCGCACACCAGTAATCCAAGCGGCTCGCAAAGCTAAAGCAGGAGGATCGTGAGTTCAAAGCCAGCCTCAGCAAKTGAGGCGCCAAGTAATTCAGTGAGACCCTGTCTCTAAATAAAACACAAAATAGGGCTAGAGATGTGGCCCAATGGTCAAGGGTTCAATCTCTGGTACCCAAAACAAACAAACAACAACAAAAAGCACTTAGATCAAGTGTAGAGAGAACCAATCTCTTAACAATATGGCACTGAGTCTTCTCGTCCGTGGCTAAAGTCTCCTATTTCTCYCAGCAACATTCTGTTGTTTCAGGTAGCAGTTTCATGCGTTTTCCCCTTGGTGCTATTTTTCAATATGAACTTTGTTATAAGCACATAGAAATAGAACTTTTTTCACATGGATCTTATATTCAGCAACCTTTCCAAATTAAATTCATTTATTTGTCCCAACAGTCAGTAGATTCTTTTGGATTTTCTAAATAACTGGTGACTTAAAAAGACACATAATAGGTGATGTTGTAATTCCAGCTACTCAGGAGACTGAGAMAAGGATCAAATTTGAGGCCAGATTCAGCAACTTAGCAAAACCCTGTCTCAGAATAAAAATTAAAAAGGGATGAGAAAGCCAGGTATGGTGGTACAGGCCTACAATCCCAGCAACTAAGGAGGCTGAGATAGAAGGATAACGAGTTCAAGGCCAGCTTCAGGGCTGAACAAAATCCTGTCTCAATAAAAAAGGGTGGGGATGTAGCTCAGTGGTAGAGCACCCCTGAGTTCAACCCCAAATACTACCCCTGCCCCCCCAAAAGATACAGACATTAAAATCAAGGTCAAGGAGAGAAGTTAGATGACAGGCATGGAAAAAGATCTTCAGAAACAATCAAGTAGGGAGAGATTAGGAATTTCAACACCACCAAAAGACAACAATCTCTTTAAGAAAATGGAATGGAAGCATCCGAGTCCCCACAGGGAGAACATACCCCACCCTGCCCCCATGTCAGGCCATGTGAAAGGCCTAGTGATGAGAGGGATGCATCTCTGTGCCCTGCTTACCGGGACAGGCCCCTGGACAGCTCCCACCACGGGAGCAGCCGCCCCACCCTGCACAGCCTTCTTGGCAGCTGGGGTCTCCTGGCTCTTGGGCTTCCTCTTCTCCCGCTTGCGGTCCCTCTCCACAAAGGTACCCTTCATCTTGGCAATGATATCTGAATCAGTCTTGGCATACTGGATACGCTACCAAACACAGAACAGAAAGATTAAGGATGGGGAWTTCAGAGCCACATTGCCTAGGTTCAATTTTAAGAGCAGAGCACTTGCCTAGCATGCTTGAGGCTCAGGGTTTGAAATCTAACACCACTTAAAAAAAAAAAAAAAGAATTGCCTCAATATTCATCTATAAAATGGGGATTATGGAATTCCCCACATGGAAGGATTGCTATAAGAACTAGACACAGCAACTGCTCAGAAAATAAGTTATTGGTATTTCTAAAGAGAGATGGGACAGCCCCGAGTATCAGGCCAAAGACAGCCTGAGAAGGCAAAGCTAGGACACAAGCACTATGCAGGGGAGTTCCAGCTGCAAGGAGGATCAGTCATCCAGGCTAAATCTGATTCATGCCTCTGCCTGCAGAGAACCCACTGCACATCAGGCCCCATTTTAGGCTCTGAGAGCATAGCGGTGAGCAGACAAAAGCCCTGCCCAGATGGTGCATTCTCAGTGAATGAAGGTACAATGAAGAGTCAAACACGAAYTGAGACGGGGTTGTCATTGTTGAAAAGGGAATTTTCAGAGAGGATAGCCAGGAATGCCACCTCTGTACCAAGATCGCACTAACTTATGCACAGACAGAAAGGAAGGCAGGGAATGAGCCATAAGGACATCTGGTAATAGAGCCTTCTAGCAAAGGAACAGCCATACAAAGAGCTAAGGCCTCTGTGGTGTGTTCCAGGAATAGCAAAGAGGCTCAAGAGATGAGGAGGAAACGTCATAAGGTCAACTGGGGACCACAGTGAAGGCTTTTCTTTCTTAGAAAGATGACAGCTAGGAGTATTGTAAGGACAGTGACAAGCCCTCACTGTCATAAAACAGAGGCTGTGGGGCTGGAGATGTAGCTCAGTGTTAGGGAACTTGCCTAGCACGTGCAAGRCCTGGGTTCCATCCCCAGCACCTCAAAAAAATGATGGTGGTTGTAGAGAATGGCCTGTGGAGAACAGGGATCAAAGCAGGGAGCCTAGGCCAGAAGCAGTGGTGCCCACCTGTAATCCCAGCGGCTTGGAAGGAGGATTTCGAGTTCAAAGCCAGCCTCAGAAAGGGAGAGGCACTAAGCAACTCAGTGAGACCCTGCCCTTAAATAAAATACAAAATTGGTCTGGGGATGTGGCTCAGTGCCCTGAGTTCAATCCCCGGTACCAAAATTAAAAATTAAAAAAAAAAAAAAAAAAAGAAAAAAGCAGGGAACTTAGTAAGCAGACCACCACTGTTGTCCTGATGAGGGAAGGGGGTGTTTAGGACAGGCCAGCAACAGGGAGGGAGGGACGAGAAGCAGGCCACTGGTAGTTTTGAAGATAGAGACAACAGCACTTTCTGACAACTCACACATACCTGAGTGCTTCATATGCTCCAAGTAGTGACTTGGGAAAAATGTGAGAGAAGGAAT